CACCGTAAGGATGAGAGAAAGGGAGGTAGCCAGGTCACATGTCTATGGGTCTTGTGTTGGTGTGAGTGTGGAACCAAATGATCCAACTCTTGGCTACTTCCCATCAGCTAAGGGGGAACACCCCACTACCCAGTGAGGTGAGCATGATGACAGCACAGAAGGGAACCTTCTCTTTTATGCTGCTGGCTGAGAACAGTGATGTTTAGAAGTTGCACTGGGATACAGGAATCTGTCTGCTAATCCTCAAATCCTGCCTTCAGAGAGGGGATGGGAAGATGAAAGAGCTGAAGGAGCTCCCTGAGGATAAGCTTCTCCTTGTGGGGCAAGTCGCCCTGGCTCATGCCTATAATCCCAGCACTTTCGGAAGCCAAGGAGAGCTTATTCTTGACATCAGGAGTTTGAGACAAGCCTGGGCAATATGGTGAAACGCTGTCTCTACTAAAAATGCAAAAATTACCCAGGGGTGGTGGCACATGCCTGTAGTCCCTGGTATTTGGGAGGCTGAGGCACAAGAATCCCTTGAAAACCTGTGAAGTAAAGGCTACAGTGAGCCGAGATGGTACCACTGCATTCTAGCCTGGGTGACATAGTGAGACTCTGTCTCAAAAAAAAAAAAAGATTCTGTTACACCAGGACCACAGTCACATTCCCATGTGTTCTGGTTGATACTAAGATTATTAAGACTGTGTGTATATATTTTAAATCGGGGGCGATTGCTGGATACAAGATTCAAAAATGTTCCACTAGTTAAACAAAAATTTTTAGAGACGGGGTCTCGCTGTTTCCCAGGATGGATTTGAACTCCTGGATTCCTGTGATCCCCCCACCTCAGCCTCTTGAGTGGTTGGGACTATAGGGACATAAGCTACTATGCCCCGCCATGTTCTGCCAGGTATTAAAAGCAATCATGAGGCCGGGCGCGGTGGCTCGAGCCTGTAATCCCAGCACTTCGGGAGGCCAAGGCGGGTGGATCACGAGGTCAAGAGATGGAGACCATCCTGGTCAACATGGTGAAACCCCGTCTCTACTAAAAATACAAAAAATTAGCTGGGCATGGTGGTGCGTGCCTGTAATCCCAGCTACTCAGGAGGCTGAGGCAGGAGAATTGCCTGAACCCAGGAGGCGGAGGTTGTGGTGAGCCGAGATCGCGCCATTGCACTCTAGCCTGGGTAACAAGAGCAAAACTCCGTCTCAAAAAAAAAAAAAAAAAAAAAAAAAAGCAATTATGAGATTAATATTGGTGACATAAAGTCCAGAGTTTGGCCAGCTGTGGTGCGTCACACCTGTAATTCCAGCAGTTTGGGAGGCTGAGATGGGTGGATCACTTGATGTCAGGAGTTCAAGACCAGCCTGGCTAACATGGTGAAACCCTGTCTCCGGTAAAAAAAATTAGCTGGGTGTGGTGGCACGTGCATGTAGTCTGAGTTACTCTGGAGGCTGAGGCACAAGAATCACTTGAACCTGGAAGGTGGAGGTTGCAGCAAGCTAAGGTCACACCACTGTACTCCAGCCTGGGCAACAGTGAGACTCTGTCTCAAAAAAAAAACAAAAATGAGGCCGGGCGCGGTGGCTCAAGCCTGTAATCCCAGCACTTTGGGAGACTGAGGCGGGTGGATCACGAGGTCGAGAGATCGAGACCATCCTGGTCAACATGGTGAAACCCCGTCTCTACTAAAAATACAAAAAATTAGCTGGGCATGGTGGCACATGCCTGTAGTCCCAGCTACTCAGGAGGCTGAGGCAGGAGAATTGCCTGAACCCAGGAGGCAGAGGTTGCGGTGAGCCGAGATCGCGCCACTGCACTCCAGCCTGGGTAACAAGAGCGAAACTCCGTCTCAAAAAAAAAAAAAAAAAAAAAAGAAAACAAACAAACCTAGTAACACAAAAAATAACAAATATTCTACTTCAGGAACCCCACACCCATTCTTTAAAATATTTGAAACTAGTTATTAAAGTGATACATACACATAGTAAACAATAATTGTTTCTTTTTTTGAGAGAGAGTCTCCCTCTGTCACACAGGCTGGAATGCAGTGGCACGACCTCAACTCACTACAAACTCTGCCTCCTGGGTCAAGCAATTCTCCTGCCGCAGCCTCCTGAGTAGCTGGGACTATAGGCGCCCACCACCAAACCCAGCTAATTTTTGTGTTTTTAGTAGAGATGAGGTTTTACCATGTTGGCCAGCCTGGTCTCGAACTCCTGGCCTCAAGTGATCCACCCACCTTGGCCTCCCGAAGTGCTGGAATTACAGGCAAGAGCCACCACGCCCAGTCCATAAATAAGCATTTTTTCAAATGTAATAACTCCCTTAACTGACAAAAGTTTTCCTTCCCATCCAAATCACATTTACTGCTGGTAACATTTTCTGTATTCATCCAGAAATTTTCCATGCATATGCAAACATATGCTTACAAACTTATGTTTTCTAATATGCTTTTCTCTATTTTTAGTTACCAATACATCTTGAACAATCTTCCTTATTTATTTTTTTTGAGACAGAGTCTTGCTCTGTCGCCTAGGCTGGAGTGCAGTGGCACAATCTTGGCTCACTGTAGCCTCCACCTCCCAGGTTCAAGGAATTCTCTGGCCTCTCGAGTAGCTGGGATTACAGGCGCACACTACCATATGTGGCTAATTTTTATATATTTTAGTAGAAATGGGGTTTTGCCATGTTGGCCAGGCTGGTCTTGAACTCCTGACTTCAAGTGTTGTGCCTACCTAGGCCTCCTAAAGTGTTGGGATTACAGGCGTGAGCCACCGTGCCTGGGCAAACATTCCTTGTTAACAAAGAGTCTCTGTCCGCTTTTCCAGTGGCTGTCCACATGGGTTAGCCTTATTTATTCAACTTGTTGCTAGTAAGGGGCACTTAGGTTGTTTTCTACTCCCTGTAATTAACAACACTGTTGCAGTGAATAACTTGTTTAATGACTTTCTGTTAGTCAAACGTTAGAGTCTCACAATGATCCTGTAAGGTTATTTACCCAGGAGGAAACAGGCAAAGAGAGGTGCAGGTACTTGCTGGTATTCTAACAGGCGGTGTGTCTTCAAGGAGCTGGCCCAGGCAGGCTAGTGCCAGGGCCTTCCTTTTTTTTTTTTTTTTTTTTTTTAGACGGAGTTTCGCTCTTGTTACCCAGGCTAGAGTGCAATGGCGCGATCTCGGCTCACTGCAACCTCCGCCTCCTGGGTTCAGGCAATTCTCCTGCCTCAGCCTCCCGAGTAGCTGGGATTACAGGCACGTGCCACCATGCCCAGCTCATTTTTTGTATTTTTAGTAGAGACGGGGTTTCACCATGTTGACCAGGATGGTCTCGATCTCTCGACCTCGTGATCCACCCGCCTCGGCCTCCCAAAGTGCTGGGATTACAGGCTTGAGCCACCGCGCCCGGCCTTGTTTTTTTTTAAACAGGGTCTCATTCTGTTGCCCAGGTTGGAGTGCAGTGGCTCAGTCATGTTCACTACAGCCTCAGCCGCCCAAGTGGCTGGCACAGCAGCCTCCTGAGTAGCACCATCACACTCAACTAATTTGTGTGTGTGTGTGCGTATTTTCTTTTTATAGAAATGGGGTCTTGCCATGTTACCCAAGCTAGTCTTGAACTCCTGGGCCCAAGCAATCCTCCCACCTCAGTCTTCCAAAGTACTGGCATTATAATTATGAGCCACCATGCCCAGCCCAGAGCTTCACTGTTTTTGTTCTTTGTTTTTTTCCTGAGATGGAGTCTTGCTCTGTCCCCCAGGCTGGAGTGCAGCAGTGTTGATCACCATACCATGCTGCCTTCATTCTAAGTGCAAAGGTGTGAAATGCTGGCTTAAGGAGCTGGTGCGGTTTAAATTTAAATGTTATTGACAAATTGTCCTCCAGTGATATTATAATTCAGGTTCCCCAAAACACATGAGCATCTCTTTCCTTATATTATTATTACTATTATTATTATTATTTTGAGATGGAGTCTCGCGCTCACCCAGGCTGGAGTACAGTAGCATGATCTCAGCTCTCTGCAGCCTCCGCCTCTTGGGTTCAAGCAATTCTCCTGCCTCAGCCTCATGAATAGCTATGATTACAGGCACTCGCCACCACTCCTGGCTAAGTTTTGTATTTTTAGTAGAGACAAGGTTTCACCCCATTGGCCAGGCTGGTCTGGAACTCCTGACCTCAGGTGATCCGCCCACCTCAGCCTCCCAAAGTGCTGGGCTTACAGGCGTGAGCCACCGTGCCCAGCCTATTGTTATTTTGAGACAAGGTCTTGCTCTATTGCCCAGGCTGGAGTGCAGTTGTACAATCATCGTTTATTACAGCCTCAACCCCCAAGGCTCAGGTGATCCTCCTACCTCAGCCACCCTGGTAGCTCAGACTACAGGTGCACACCACTGTGCCCAGCTAACTTTTAAAGATAGGGTTGTGCTTTGTTACCCAGGCTGGTTTCCAACCCCTGGCCTAGATCCCTAGAACTCTATTTTAAAAGCAAATAAAATATTCAGTGTATTTGTTTGTAAAACAAGGCTGGGCATGGTGGCTCATGCCTGTAATCCCAGCAGTTTGGGAGGCTGAGGCAGCCAAATCACATGAGGTCAGGACTTTAAGACCAGCGTGGGCAACATCCTGAAACCCCATCTCTACTAAAAACATAAATATTAGCTGGGCATGGTAGCATTTGCCCGTAATCCCAGCTGCTTGGTAAGCTGAGGCAGGAGAATCACTTGAACCTGGGAGGTGAAGGTTGCAGTGAGTCAGAAAAAAAAAAAAAAGAAGAAGAAGAAGAAATTAGCTGGGTGTGGTAATCCCACCTAATCTGGAGGATTGAACCTGGGAGGCAGGGGTAGCACTGAGCTGAGATTGTGCGACTGGACTAGAGCCTGGGCAACAGCAGAACTCCGTCTCAATAAATACATAAATGAGTCAAAAATAAAAAAATTAAAAACTGAAAATAAAAAAAATCTACAAAAAATAAAAAACAAAATAGCAATAGTAATAACTTAAAAAAAAAAATCAAAGCATTCACCTTGTATTCCCAGAGATTCTGAGGGGGCTTTACACCTAATGCTTTTACACGTTCCAGCTCCATGAGGATGGCTCTCCTGTGGCTGCTGTTTTCTATGGTATATGGCGATTTGGAGAATTCTTCCTCTGTCAAAGTTAAAAGCAACCTGTGGAGAGGTAGGAGGAGATTTATTTTGCAATTATATACTGGAAGCAAACTTTCTACACTCAGAGTTCCATCTTATCAACATAAATTCCTTAGGCTTGCGGTATGGTGAGACAGTTCACATTCAGCAGCATTAATAGCAACAAATAATTGGATGCTTACTATTTACCAGTGACTATCTGTAAATATTTTCATAAGTTATCACTGATTCGTAAAACAGTTCTTCAGGGTAGGTAGCATGACGCTGCTTTTGTAGGTCAGAAAACTCGCTTTGGCCGGGTGCAGTGGCCCATGCCTAATTCCAACACTTTGGGAGGCTGAGGTGGGTGGATCACTTGAAGTCAGGAGTTTAACACCAGCCCAGCCAACTAGTAGAGATGGTGAAACCCCATCTCTACTAAAAGTACAAAACTTAGCCAGGCTTGGTGGCACATGCCTGTAATCCCAGCTACTTGGATGGCTGAGGCAGGAGAATTGTTTGAACCCAGGAGGTGGAGGTTGTAGTGAGCTAAAATCTCGCCCTGCACTCCAGCCTCCAGCCCGGGTGACAGTGACAGAGTGAGACTCCATCTCAAAAAAAAAAAAAAAAGAAAACTCGATTAGAAAAATAAGGTCACAGGCTGGGCGCGGTGGCTCAAGCCTGTAATCCCAGCACTTTGGGAGGCCAAGGTGGGTGGATCACGAGGTCAAGAGATCGAGACCATCCTGGTCAACATGGTGAAACCCCGTCTCTACTAAAAATACAAAAAATTAGCTGGGCAGGGTGGCGCGTGCCTGTAATCCCAGCTACTCAGGAGGCTGAGGCAGGAGAATTGCCTGAACTAGGGAGGCGGAGGTTGCGGTGAGCCGAGATCGCGCCATTGCACTCCAGCCTGGGTAACAAGAGTGAAACTCCGTCTCAAAAAAAAAAAGAAAAAAAACTCGCTTAGAAAAATAAGGTCACTTTCCCAAGGCATTCCTAGGTCTGTTTTGTTCCTATACCTTTGAACTTTCAGTTATATGCTCTGACCTCTCACATATTACTCTGCTTTGGTAGGCTAAGGCAGAAGTATTACTTGAGCCCAGGTGAGACAAGCCTGGGCAACACAATGAGACCCTGTCTCTCCAAAAAAACAAAAAATTAGCCAGGCATGGTGGCATGCACCTGTCATTTTAATTACTTGGGCTGCTGAAGCAGAAGGATTGCTTGAACACAGGACTTTGAGACTGTAGTGAGTTATGATAGTGCTACTGCACTCTAGCCTGGATGACAGAGAGAGACTCTCTTGAAAAAAAAAAAAAAAAAAAGGTAGTTGTTTTACAATAGGGATTTACTTTATTAAAAACTATTGGAAATACTGTATCTGGTTTCCTCATCAGAAAACACGAACTCTGGCTGGGGACAGTGGCTCACGCCTGTAATCTCAGCGCTTTGGGAGGCTGAGGCAGGTAAATCATCTGAGATCAGGAGTTTGAGACCAGCCTGGCCAACATGGCAAAACCCTGTCTCTACTAAAAATACAAATTAGCTAGGTGTGGTAGCTCACACCTCTAGTCGTAGCTACTCAGGAAGCTGAGGTAAGAGAATTGTTCGAACCCGAGAGGCAGAGGCTGCAGTGAGGTGAGATTATGCCACTGCACTCCAACCTGGGTTAGACAGCAAGACTTCGTCTCAAAACAATCCCCGCAAAAAAAGGATAGGAGTGGTGGCTCCCGCCTATAATCTCAAGCTTTGGGAGTCCAAACAGGGAAGATCACCTGAGGTCAGAAGTTCAAGACCAGCGTGGCCAATGTGGTAAGACTCTGTCTCTACTAAAAAGAAAAAAATTAGCAAGGTGTGATGGTGTGCACCTGTAATCCCAGTTACTTAGGAGGCTGAGGCAAGAGAATTGCTTGAACTCAGGAGGTAGAGGTTACAGTGCACTGATACCATGGCATTACACTTCAGCCTGGGTGACAGAGCAAGACTCCGTCTCAATGTAAAAAAAAAAAAACACACACAAGAAAAAGAAAACACATGAATTCCCCTCCACAGTGATTCATCATTAAAAACATCACTGTAAGCTGGCCAAAGAGCTATTAACAGGCATACACAACTACTGGTTGAGTAGTGTAAATTGATGGTCCTTTTGTGGGTAATTTGGTGATGCTTATTAAATTTCTACAGATTTACTCCCTTTGCCCCAGCAATTCCAGTTCTATTTGTCCTCTAGAAAACTATGCAGAAATAGACTGTAGAGAAATTTTATAACATAATTTTGGGGGAGGTGAATTTCTATGTAAAGCAAATTAAAATAGGAGCATGTCATTTCCTCAAAAAAGAGTTAAGTACTGAAAGCTCAGCGGAGAGGAGAGGAAAAGTCACTGGAGTGGGAGAGGTGGCAGTCAGGCAGCCAGGCAGTGAGTGAAGCGGGTGTGTGAAACAAATGAATTTTGGAGAGTGGCTGCTCTTATCACTATATCATACTATATGTAATACCCTTATTCAGGGGGTGGATGCAGATGTAAATATATATGTACATGTATATATAAAAACACATCTGTTTAGTACAATCATATTTTCAGTTTAAAATTTAAAAATACACATTTACATATTTATCTCTGTAAGTACTGAAACATCTGGAAAGATGTCTAGCAAAGTAACTGTTTTTCTGAAGATCAGGATTACCAAGGTATGTCACTTTCAATATCACATAGGTCTATATTATTATTATTATTATTATTACTATTATTGTTATTTTGAGACAGAGACTCACTCTGTCACCCAGGCTGGAGTGCAATGGTGAGATCTCGGCTCACTGCAATCTCCGCCTCCTGGCTTCAAGCGATTTCCCTGCCTCAGCCTCCCGAGTAGCTGGGATTATAGGAATGGGCCCCCACTCCCGGCTAATTTTGTATTTTTAGTACAGATGGGGTTTCTTCATGTTGGTCAGGCAGGTCTTGAACTCCCGACCTCAGGTGATCCACCCACCTTGGCCTCCCAAAGTTCTGGGATTACAGGCATGAGCCACCGTGCCCACCCAGTTTGATATTATTTTTTTTAAAAATAAATAATACATTTGCCAGGCATGGTGGCTCATGCCTGTAATCCCAGCACTTTGGGAGGCTGAGGTGGGCAGATCACCAGAGGTCGGGTGTTTGAGATCAGCCTGACCAACATGACGGAACCGCATCTCTACTAAAAATATAAAAATTAGCCGGGTATGATGGTGGGTACCTGTAACCCCAGCTACTTGGGAGACTGAGGCAGGGGATTCACTTGAACCCAGGAGGCGAAGGTTGCAGTGAGCCGAGATCGCTGCCACTACACTCCAGCCTGGGAGACAGAGTGAGACTCCATCTCAAAAAAATAAAATATAATACATGTTTTTATGTTTTGAAGTAGAAAAAAAAAATAAAATAAAAATAAATATATATTAATGTGGTGTTATATGTAGGCTTTTGTCCATAGTTCCCAGCTCATAGCTGCTACATCCCTTATTCCAATCTGTGTTAAAATGGTGGAGGCCAGGCACGGTGGCTCACGCCTGTAATCCCAGCACTCTGGGAGGTCAAAGCAGGCAGATCACCTGAGGTCAGGAATTCAACACCAGCCTGGTCAACATGGTGAAACCTCGTCTCTGCTAAAAATACAAAAATTAGCTGGGCTTGGTGGTACACGAGTTTAATCCTGGAGACTGAGGCAGGAGAATCACTTGTACCTCGGAGGTGGAGGTTGCAGTGAGCCAAGATCACGCCACTACACTCCAGCCACACCAGACAGAGCAAGACTCCATCTCAACAACAACAACAAAAAAGTCAGGTATGTGGGGCCTCAGGGCAAGCATCTGACCTCCAGCTCTCTTTCACTTTTATCTTTCCCTCTTTCTGATTGTGGGTCTTAAGAATTTCTCAGCCGGGCTCGGTGGCTCAAGCCTGTAATCCCAGCACTTTGGGAGGCCGAGGCGGGTGGATCACGAGGTCAAGAGATCGAGACCATCCTGGTCAACATGGTGAAACTCCATCTCTACTAAAGGTGCAAAAAATTAGCTGGGCATGGTGGCGCGTGCCTGTAATCCCAGCTACTCCGGAGGCTGAGGCAGGAGAATTGCCTGAACCCAGGAGGCGGAGGTTGCGGTGAGCCGAGATCGCGCCATTGCACTCCAGCCTGGGTAACAAGAGCGAAACCCTGTCTCAAAAAAAAAAAAAAAAAAAAAAAAAAGAATTTCTCATAAGGAGGGTGTAGGGCTCATGCCTGTAATCACAAATCTTTGGGAGGCTCAGGTAGGCAGATCATTTGAGTCCAGGAGTTCAAGACCAGCCTGGACGACATGGCAAAACCCCATCTCTATTAAAAATACAAAAATTAGCTGGGCGTGATGGCACATGCCTGTAGTTCCAGTTACTTGGGAGGCTGAGGTAGAAGAATTCCTTGAGCCTGAGAGGCAGAGGTTGCAGTGAGTCAAGGTCGTGCCACTGCACTCCAGCCTGGGCTACAGAGTAAGACCCTGTCTGAAAAAAACAAAAACAGAAACAAAAAAACTCAAGAGGACAGTATTCAGCAAGCTTCTGGATAGTTAAGCAAGTGAGGTTCCTAGAGGGGAGCGCACCCATGGAGAGCATGGAAGCTCTGTGCCCCTTCCCCCACACCTTGCCCCAAGGGTCTCTTTATCTTTATCCTTTGCAGTATCCTTTATAATAAACCAGTGAATGTAAGTGTGTGTTTCCCTGAGTTCTGTGAGCTGCTCCAGCAAATTAATCGAACCCAAAGAGGAAGTCATGGGAACTCCAACTTGAAATTGATAGGTCAGAAATTCTGGAAGGCTGGATATGTGACTAGTATTAGTCAGGGGCAGTCTCGGGGACAGAGCCTTCACCCTGTGGAATCTGACACTATCTCTGGGTAGACAGTGTCAGAAATGAATTAGAGGACACCCAGCTGGTGTCTGCTGCTGGGTGTGTGTATAAGAACCCCACACGTTTGGTCACAGAAGTCTTCTGTGTTGATTCTGGTGATTAGAGAGAATTTTTCCTTACAAATTTTTTTTTTTTTTTTTTGAGACGGAGTTTTGCTCTTGTTACCCAGGCTGGAGTGCAATGGCGCGATCTTGGCTCACCGCAACCTCCGCTTCCTGGGTTCAGGCAATTCTCCTGCCTCAGCCTCCTGAGTAGCTGGGATTACAGGCACGCACCACCATGCCCAGCTAATTTTTTGTATTTTTTTTTAGTAGAGATGGGGTTTCACCATGTTGACCAGGTTGGTCTCAATCTCTCAACCTTGTGATCCATCCGCCTCAGCCTCCCAAACTGCTGGGATTACAGGCTTGAGCCACCGCGCCCGGCTTCCTTACAAAATTTTATAATCTGAAAGCAACAAAAAAAATTTCAATGTCATGAACATATAACAGTATAGCTGCTGTGGAAAATAGTTTGACAGTACATAAAGTCAGAATAAAGTTGCCATATGTATCAGTCATTCCACTTCAAGACAGTATTGAAAATACATATTCTCTTTGTCAAGAGTCACAGAGGGAGTGCACTGGCTCGCCAAACCACTGATAAGAAAAAAAAAAAAGAAAGAAAATACATGTTCATGCAAGAATCTGCACATGGGCCAGGCACGGTGGCTCATGCCTGTAATCCCAGCACTTTGGGAGGCTGAGGCAGGTGGATCACGAGGTCAAGAGTTCGAGACCAGCCTGACCAACATGGTGAAACCCCATCTCTACTGAAAATACAAATATTAGCTGGGCGTGGTAGCGCCCACCTGTAATTCCAGCTACTTAGGAGGCTGAGACAGGAGAATCGCTTGAAACCGGAAGGCAGAGGTTGCAATGAGCGAAGATCACACCACTACACCCCAGCCTGGGTGACAGAGCAAGACTCCATCTCAAAAAAAAAAGAAGAGAGGAAAAAGAATCTGTATATGAACAATCACAGCATCATTATTCATAATAGCCAAAAAAGGGAATTATCCCAAATGTCCATCAACCAATGAATGGATAAATAAAATACAGTATACTCTTACAGTAGAATATTATTCAGCTATAAAAAGGAACAAAGTATCCGAACAGTGCAATAAAACACAATTAAAAAAAAAAAAAAGGAACAAAGTGGTTGGGCATGGTGGCTCATACCTGTAATCCCAGCACTTTGGGAGGCTGAGGAGGGTGGATCACAAGGTCAGGAGTTCAAGACCAGCCTGGCCAACACAGTGAAACCTCGTCTCTACTAAAAATACAAAAATTAGCTGGGCGTGGTGGCAGGTGCATCCCAGCTACTCAGGAGGCTGAGGCAGGAGAACTGCTTGAACCTATGAGGCGGAGGTTGTGGTGAGCTGAGATTAGGCCACTGAACTCTCCAGTCTGGGCAACAGAGCTAGACTCCATCTCAAAAAAACAGAAACGAAGTACTGATACATGCTATGTCATGGGCAAACTTTGAAAAAAATTATGCTAAGTGAAAAAGTCAAACATAAAATACCACATATTGTATGAATCCATTTACACGAAATGTCCAGAGTAGGCAAATCCGTAGAGACAGAGAGTAGGACGGTGTTTGCCAGGGCAGGGGGTTGGGGAGAAATGTGGATTAACTAAAGGGTAAAAGCTTTCTCTTAGGGTGCTAAAAATGTTCTAAAACCAGCTGTAGTCATGATTACACATATTTGTGAACACATTAAAAACCACAGATTGCGTACTTCAAACATGAGAATTTTATGTGGATTACATCTCTCTCTTTTGAGATGAAGTCTTGCCCAGTTGCCTAGGCTGGAGTGTAGTGCCATGATCTCGGCTCACTGCAACTTCCACCTCTTGTGTTCAAGAGACTCTCCTGCCTCAGCCTCCCAAATAGCTGGCATTTCAGGCATGTACCACCATGCTCAGCTATTTTTTTTTTGTATTTTTAGTAGTGATGAGGTTTCACTGTATTTGTCAGGCTGGTCTCAAACTCCTGACCTCAATGACCCATCCGACTCCCAAAGTGCTGGGAATACAAGTGTGAGCCACCATGCCCAACGTGGATTATATATGAATAAAGCTGTTTTCTAAAATGTCCATGGTGTGTCAGAAGACTGCTCCTCACCTTCCGTTTACTCGTTCAGATAAAAACCTTTCCCTGTAAAGAGAGGTCCAAGGGCCCAGCTGCTCCAGCCAGAGGACAACTTCTTCTGCTGTCCATTTTGACACAGCCTTGTGCACCAGGAGATCATGTTCAGATTCCTTGCTGCTCCAGTGATAGACGAGCAGGACCACCTGGGAAAAAGTGACAGGGACTTTAAACTATGAAGAGGCAGAGATGCCAGTTTCTAAATATGTGGCTGGGAGGCAGGGAAAGGAAGAGTCTGAGTTCATAGGGAGTGACACGGAGTCTGCACACAGAAGCAGGGCAACACCACTGCCACAGAGAACTGGGGAGCACAGCTCTCCTCGGGTACCTCTCTCTGCTGATTGCTCGGCAGTGAGGGTACAGAGGTAAGAACAGGACTCATCTCAGGCGCCTGGGAGCAGCTGGAGCCTTGACTCCATCAACTTGCTCAACATAACTGACTCATGTCTTTTCTACTGGAAAAATATTTAGATTTTTTATGCATAGAACTTTGAAAGAAAAAAGTGTTCACAATGGAATTTAGTTAACTGGTGTGTTCTTAAGATTGTATTACCAAGGAAGGCAGGGCACAATGGTTCATCCCTATAATCCCGGCACTTTGGGACTCCAAGGCAGGTGGATCACTCGAGGTCAGCAGTTCCAGACCAGCCTGACCAACATGGTGAAATCCCATCTCTACTAAAAATACAAAAATTAGCTGGGTGTGGTGACACATGCCTGTAATCCCAGCTACTCGGGAAGCTGAGGCAGGAGAAATGCTTGAACCCAGGAGGTAGAGGCTGCAGTGAGCCAAATGATGCCACTGAACTCCAGTCTAGGCAACAGGACAAGAATTCATATAACAAAAAAAACAAAAAAACAAAAAATGGTGGCTCACGCCTGTAATCCCAGCACTTTGGGAGGCCGAGGCGGGCGGATCACGACGTGAGGAGATGGAGACCATTCTGGCCAACATGGCAAAAACTCGTCTTTATTTTAATAAAAAGAAAAAGAAAAAAAAGAAAAAGAGAGAGAGAGATGTAATTCACATAAAATTCACACATTTGAAGTACAGAATCCATGGTTTTTTGTTTTTTTGTTTTTTTTTTTCTGAGATGGAGTTTCACTCTTGTTACCCAGGCTGGAGTGCAATGGCGCGATCTTGGCTCACGGCAACCTCCGCCTCCTGGGTTCAGGCAATTCTCCTGCCTCAGCCTCCTGAGTAGTTGGGATTACAGGCACGTGCCACCATGCCCAGCTAATGTTTTGCATTTTTAGTAGAGACGGGGTTTCACCATGTTGACCAGGATGGTCTCGATCTCTTGACCTCATGATCCACCTGCCTCGGCCTCCCAAAGTGCTGGGATTACAGGCTTGAGCTACCGCACCCGGAAGAATCCATGGTTTTTAACGTGTTCACAAAAATGCATAATCATCACCACAGCTGGTTTTAGAACATTTTCATCACCCTAAAAGAACGCTTTTACCTAGATTGCACCATTGCACTCCAGCTTGGGTGACAGAGCAAGACTCTGTCTCAAAAAGAAAAAAAAAAGATTTTATTACCAAGCCAGACTTGGTCTTGAATTCCAGTTCCACCACCTTTCTCCATTTACTAGGTACTATTAAATGATCTACCTGAGTAAGCAACATACCTGAAGAAATCACAGAATCCAGCAGATTTCAATGTATGCAGTGAATTACATGCAGTCACATCAATTGTTTAAGTGATTTCAACAGAACGGACTTCATTGGAAATCAGGGGTTGGGAGATGAGGTGTGGGGGACACAGAGGAACACAGTGATCGACTTACTGCCACTCCAGTTAAAGCTGTGAGCACACCAGAAAAAAATCCCCCTCCCCTCTGCTGATTCACTCGGCCTGTGTTGGGAGCTAAAGGAATCTGATCGTTTCCATATTTCTGAAAGGCTGCAAGACTTTGGACTATGTCTTTATTCTGCTGAATGTCTTCAAATCTCATCCTAATGGCATCAGGAAATAACTTTTCAATAGCATCCCTATGGAGAATAGAAAAAACAAAGTAAGACAGTTGTTTGTAAAACTGGTAGTCAACATCTAATAACATATAGTTACCCTAGGAGAACTGACAAGAAATGTATTATAGTCCTCTTGGTAAAAGCAAAAAATTAGAAACAATCTATTGGGTTGTTTACTATTACTTTCTCTCTCTCTTTTTTTTTTTTTTTTTTTAACAGAGTCTTGTTCTGTTGCCCAGGCTGCAGTGCAGTGGCACAGTCTTGGCTCACTGCAACCTCTGCTTCCTGGGTTCAAGCCATTCTCCTACCTCAGCCTCCTGAGTAGCTGGGATTACAGGCAGCTGACACCACACCTGGCTAATCTTTTGTATTTTTCGTAAAGATGGGGTTTCATCATGTTGGCCAGGATAGTCTCGAACTCCTGACTTCATGATCTGCCTGCCTCGGCCTCTCAAAGCACTGGGATTACAGGCATGCACCAATGCACCGGCCAGTTTTTTGTTTTTTGTTTTTTTAAGACAGAGTCTTATTCTGTCGCCCAGGCTGGAGTGCAATGGCCTGATCTTGGCTTATTGGCACACACCACCACACCCAGCTATTTTTTTTTTTTTTTTTTTTGTATTTTTAGTAGAGACAAGGTTTTGCTGTGGTGCCCAGGCTGGTATCAAACCCCTGAGCTCAGGCAGTCTGCTCACCTCAGCCTCCTAAAGTGCTGGGATTTCAGGCATGAGCCACTGTGCCTGGTTTAAAAATACTTTTAAACATACATGTGCCAGGTTGGGTGTGGTGGCCAACACCTATAATCCCAGTACCTTGGGAGGCCAAGGCAGGTGGATCACTTGAGGCCAGTTCAGGACCAGCCGGGCCAACATGACAAAACCCTGTCTCTACCAGAAAATACAAAAATTAGCCTGGCGTAATGGCGCACGCCTGTAATCCCAGCTACTGAGGAGGCTGACACATGAGAATCACTTGAAGGAGGTGGAGGTTGCAGTAAGCTGAGATCATGTTTCTACTAAAAATATAAAAATCAACTGGGTGTGGTGGTGGGCACCTGTAATCCCAGCTACTTGGGAGGCTGAGGCAGGAGAATTGCTTGAACCTGGGAGAAGGAGGCTGTAATGAACTGGGATTGCACCACTGCACTCTGGCCTGGGCAATAGAATGAGACTCTGTCTCAAAAAGGAGTATTTTTGAAAATCTGAGGCCAGGTGTGGTGACTCACGCCTGTAATCCCAGCACTGTAAGAGGCTGAGGCAGGAGGATCATTTGAGTTCAGGAAGACCAGCCTGGGCAACATAGTGAGACCTCATCTCTATTAAAAAGTTTTTTTTTTTTTTTTTTAAGTATTTTTAAAAATCTGAACAAAAGCACAACTAAGTCATAACTGAAACTACTCTGGGGAAGAATGAAGAAAAGGATTCTAAGATGGGAAAAGGAGGTGTCAAAGGGGTCTTTAGTTTTATCAGTAATTTTCCAGTTTTTTTTTTTTTTTTTTTTTTAAAGGAGTCTCCCTCTGTTGCCAGGCTGGAGTGCCATGGGGTGATCTCAGCTCACTGCAAACTTTGCCTCCCTGGTTCAAGCAGTTCTCCTGCATCAGCCTCCTGAGTAGCTGGGATTACAGATATGCGCCACCACACCCCACTAATTTTTGTATTTTTAGTAGAGACAGGGTTTCACCATGCTGGCAAGATGGTCTCGATCTCCTGACCTCGTCATCCACCTGCTTTCGCCTCCTAAAATGCTGGGATTACAGGCGTGCGCCACTGTGCCCAGCCCATTTTCCACTATTTTTAAAAGAAGGGCCCAGGCCAGGCACGGTGGTTCATGCCTGTAATCCTAGCACTTTGGAAGGCCAAGATGGACGGATCACTTGAGGTCAGGAGTTTGAGACCAGCCTGGTCAAAATAGTGAAACCCCGTCTCTACTAAAAATCCAAAAATTAGGCCAGGTAAGGAGGCTTACGCCTGTAATCCTAGCACTTTGTGGGGCCAAGGCAGATGGATCACCTGAGGTCAGGAGTTCAAGACCAGCTAGACCAAAATGGAGAAACCCTGTCTCTACTAAAAATACAAAATTGGCCAGACAGGGAGGCTCATGCCTGCAATCCCAGCACTTTGGAAGGTCGACGGCGGATCACAAAATCAGGTGATGGAGACCATCCTGGCCAACATGGTGAAACCTGTCTCTACTAAAATACAAAAATTAGCTGCGTGTGGTGGCATGCGTCTGTAGTCCCAACTACTAGGGAGGCTGAGGCAGGAGAACTGCTTGAACCCGGGAGGTGGAGGTTGCAGTGAGCCGAGACTGCGCCACTGCACTCCAGCCTGGCACCTGGCAACAAAGTAAGACTCAGTTTCAAAAAAAAAAAAAATAGCTGGGCATGGTGGCACATGCCTGTAATCCCAGCTACTTGGGAGGCTGAGGCTGGAGAATCACTTGAACCCAGCAGGCAGAGGCTGCAGTAAGCCGAGATCGCACCATTGCACTCCAACCTGGGCAACAAGAGCAAAACTCGCCGGGCCCAGTGGCTCACACCTGTAATCCTAGCACTTTGGGAGGGTGAGGTGGGTAGACTGCCTGAGGCCAGGAGTTCAAGATCAGCCTGGCCATCATGGTGAAACCCCATCTTTAAAAAAAAAAAAGAATAGGCCGGGCGCGGTGGCTCAAGCCTGTAATCCCAGCACTTTGGGAGGCCGAGGCGGGTGGATCACGAGGTCAAGAGATCGAGACCATCCTGGTCAACATGGTGAAACCCCGTCTCTACTAAAGATACAAAAAATTAGCTGGGCATGGTGGCACGTGCCTGTAATCCCAGCTACTCAGGAGGCTGAGGCAGGAGAATTGCCTGAACCCAGGAGGCGGAGGTTGCGGTGAGCCGAGATGGCGCCATTGCACTCCAGCCTGGGAAAAAAGAGCGAAACTCCGTCTCAAAAAAAAAAAAAAAAAAAAAAAGAATAAAATTCAGTCTCAAAAAAACAAAACAAAACAAAACCCAGAAACTAGCTGGGTGTGGTGGTGGGCGCCTGTAATCCTAGCTACTCAGGAGGCTGAAGCAGGAGAATCACTTGAACCTAGGAGGTGAAAGTTGCAATGAGCCAAGATTGCACCATTGGACTGAGTGACAGAGCGAGACTTCATCTTAAAGAATATAAACAATGAGAGAGAGAGAGAGAGAGAGTGAGTGTGAGAGTGTGTGTGTGTGTGTGTGTGTGTGTGTGTGTGGAGGGAGGGAGGGGGAGGGAGGGAGGGGGAGAGAGAGAGAGAGAGCGCTTATGTTAAATTCAATTTATAAGAAGGGAAAAAAGCAAAATTCAGTAATAAGAGAAAGACCAACTATCAGCTTATAATGTAGGGCTCTTTATTTTCAGTTATATACAAAGAACCCTCCTCTAATTTAAGATTAAATTTAACCTTCAGCTAAAGCAAAACTGACAGGTAAGAGCAAAGTGTAAACACATCTTTAGTGAAAAGGTTGGGTTCATGGAACTTTCTAATACTCCCCTGAAATCAAGAAGGTCACATGCATTGCTAAGACAATAGAAGAGGGGAAGAGGATTTAAGCCTCAGAGACTTCACAGGTACATTACCAGCCAAGGAAGCAGAAAAAAACAACCTATCTGAAAGGTGGCTTTGGCAATGTGATGTTATACATAAGAAATTCTATTAATGCGGTAACTGGAACTGAGATTAAAGATTATGAATATCAGCATCAAATCAGTTATTCACAATTGTACAGTACAGTTACACCATTTCCTTGCTTTCTTTCCTTTTTGAGGCAGGGTCTTGCTCTATTGCCCAGGCTGGAGTGTAGTGGTGTGGGCTCACTGCAGCCTCTACCTCCCAGGTTGAAGCAATCCTTCCACCTCAGCCACCTGCATAGCTGGGGCTACAGGCATGTGTCATCACACCTGGCTAACTTTTAAAACTTTCTGTAGAGATGAGGACTCACCATGTTGCCCAGGCTGTTTTTAAATTCCTGGTATCAAGCAATGTTCCTGCCTCAGGTTCCCAAAGTGTTGGGATTACAGGCATCAATCACTCAGACGTCTGGCCTTTATATGACAAGATCATAAGCAATGGTCTGCTAACCAGACTTTCTTTCCTTCATTCATAATAAACAACTTAAAAAGTCATGGTCACCTATGAGGAAGGGAATCTGGATTTCCAGCTCCTTGAGCTCCCTAATTCATATTCCAGCAGATCCACTATGACCCCAAGGAGGTGAGCTCCAAGTCTGTGACCTTTCAAACACTGCTGCTCCCATTAAGAGAAAGCCCATTGGCCGGACATGGTGGCTCACACCAAAGTAATCCCAGCACTTTGGGAGGCTGAAGTGGGAGGATCACTTGAGGTGAGGACTTTGAGACCAGCCTGGGCAACATAGTCAGACCCCATTACTGTTTAAAAAAAAAAAAGAAGAAGAGAAAAAGAAAAGAAAAAGCAGGCAGGGAATGGTGACTCACGCCTGTAATCTCAGCACTTTGGGACGCCAAGGTGATGGATCATGAGGTCAGGCATTCAAGACCATCCTGGCCAACATGGTGAAACCCTATCTCTACTAAAAACACAAAAATCAGCCAGGTGTGGTTGCATGCGCCTGTATTCTTATAATCCCAGCTACTCAGGAGGCTGAAGCAGGAGAATCACTTGAACATGGGAGGCAAAAGTTGTAGTGAGCCACTGAGATCATGCCATTGCACTCCAGCCTAAGGGATAGAGCGAGACTCCATCTCAAAACAAAACAAGAGCGAAACCACATTTTATGGGCTGTCTGTGCCAACAATACAGGCTGAGCATTACCTGAGGAGAATATTGACTTTTGGGAAACCTTCCCATTTTTCTCTGCATTCTGGACATTCTGTTTTCTTTGAAGACGTCCACCATAAAGCAAGGCAATGACGGCAGAAGCTGTGCCCACAGTTCAACGTGGTGGGGTTAACCAGGATGTCGTAGCAGCAGTGGCAAGAAAATTCACTAACAGAAATCTGAGGGCCGGTGCTTTTGAGAGGGTCATCTTTCTCAAGGTCCACTGTGTTCAGATAGCATTTCTGAGGTTCGTCCATTTTTTAGCAAATTCTGGGATCCACAGACATAGAAAATTTCAGATGTAGAAAACTGCTGCAAAACATCATTAATCTAGAAAAAAAAAGTGACAAAAATAAGGCAAATAGTTTGAAGAGTAGTTAATATAAAAGTATTGTCATTCTATTAAAGCTCTAATTTTTTAGAGGGGGCATGAGAGGCTTTCTGGTAGAGACCAGAAAACCTTCCAAACAAATTCTGAAGGAGTTGTAATACTAAAGTTCTAATTTTTATTAATTCATTAATTCTCATCAAGGTTGGAGTCCAGTGGTGCAATCGCAGCTCACTGTAGCCTTGACTCCCCAGGCTCAGATGATCCTTCCTCCTCAGTCTCCTGAGTAGCTGGGTCTACAGGTGTGTACCACTACACTTGGCTAAATTTTTCTATTTTTAGTAAAGATGTGGTTTCACCACATTGCCCAGGCTGAAACTCTAATTTTAAAACGTGACAAATTTGATTTATTAAAATCCACATACCATAAAGCACATAATCAGGACTGAATTTCTAGCCTATTTGTTATACTTTTCAAAAGCAGTAAAGCAAAATGACACGTGTAGTAGAAGGTTCAAGACTCAAAGGATGTGGGCAGAGAACTCTGAATCCTTCTCCATTTCCTTAGAAAAGAAAATTTCCTTGGTCTCAGTATTCTCAATTAAATTTCCCTTTGTTTTTTGAGATGGAGTCTCACTCTGTCACCCAGGCTAGAGTGCAGTGGCGCGATCTTGGCTCACATCAACCTCACCTCCCAGGTTCAAGCAATTCTGCCTCAGCCTCCTGTGTAGCTGGGATTACAGGTGACTGCCACTGGGCCCAGCTAATTTTTATATGTTTAGTAGAGATGGTTTTCGCCATGTTGGCCAGGCTGGTCTTGAACTCCTGACCTCAGGTGATCCACGCTCTTCAGCCTCCCAAAGTGTTGGGATTACAGGTATGAGCCACTGCACCTGGCTTTTTGTATTTTTATTAGAGATGGGTTTTCACCATGTTGGCCAGGCTGATCTCATACTCCTGACCTCAAGTGATCTGCTGGCCTTGGCCTATCAAAGTGCTGGGATTACAGGTGTGAGCTACCATGCCTGGCCTCAATTAAATTTCCAAAGACCTTTCCAGGTGTATGATTTAAAATAAACCAGCTTCTTAGCCTGGAAAAATGTCTGGGGTTGGTAACAACAGATATGCTTCCTGTAAATAACACTTTTTTTGTGCACACAAATCTGCCTTCCCATTAGGCAATCATATTTTATAAATATTTGACTTCAGAGGCTCTAATGGAAGCAATTCCAAGAAATGAGTGAAGCCTTGTTTCCCAGCTGTGCCAGGCCAAATCTGCCATGGCTCAATAACACCCTTTTCCCCCAAATCAACCCAAACATGCATCTCATGCCATCTAGATCCAGCCAGCTCGGTGCCACAGAAACATGCTAACCTTACTAATATGCAAATGACAAAGGATCATTCTCTTCTTATTTTTATCTTGGTTGTAGATTTGTTTGTTTTTGAGAAGTAATATGACACAGAAGGTCTTGGAGTTAGACTCTTAAGTCCCCAAGTCACTAGCTCTGACCGTGCAGAAGTTACCTGAGCTCTCCAATCAAGTTTCTTCAACTGTGAAATGGTGGTCACAGTACAGAAACCATCAATATTTCTTGTGAGGATTAGAAACAGTAAAGGAAAGTGACTCGGAATTTGTATGGTGCAAATATGGGCTATAGAAATGATATTCATACTATTGCTGGTGAGTTCCTCAATCTTGCTATTGTGAAGGAAAAGAAAAAAATCACTTTCCTTCACACTCACTGACCATGCAGGGAAGGGCTCAGACTTCGTGCTCCGGAGGCACAGTGGTAAGGAACACAGGTCCCACAGCTGGGCTGCCTGGGTTCTCACCCCACTTCTGCCATTTACCAGTGGTGAGCCTCAGCTGCTTGTGTATATACGGGGGACTGTGATAGTACTTAACCACAGCGGGAGGTTTGCAGCAGTAAATAAGAGAATGCCTCTGGGTTTCTGGACAAGCAAAAAAAAAAAAAAGAGAATGTGAGTCAAGTGTCTAGTACAAAGCCTGGCACATGGTAAGTCTACCATAAATGGTAGCATTTACTTTTATTTTATTTTTAATTTATTATTATTATTTTTGAGATAGAGTTTTGCTCTTGGTTGCCCAGGCTGGAGTGCAATAGCTGGATCTCAGCTCACTGCAACCTCTGCCTACCAGGTTCAAGCAATTCTCCTGCTTCAGCCTCCTCAGTAGCTGGGATTACAGGCATGTACCACCACGTCTGGCTAATTTTGTATTTTTAGTAGAGACAGGGTTTAACCATGTTGGTCAGGTTGGTCTTGAACTCCTAACCTCGGGTGATCCGCCTGCCTCAGCTTCCCAAAGTGCTGGAATTACAGGTGTGAATAACTGAGCCTGGCCCAATTCACTTTATTTCTAAAATACAGCAATTAGAGAATTTTATCACCCTTCATAGGGTACAAAATTTTATATACTACATAAAAACACCATATTTTAAATAAACAAATCTAGAAATAGAGAACAGAAGATAGAGTTAGTAGTAGGTGTGTTTAATTGGGGAGGATCACGAGTTACTTTTTTTGGTTTTGGTTTTCGGGATTTGTCTAGTTGTTTTTTAATGGAAATGTGTGATTTTTATAATAATTGTAAAAAAACACATACAGTTGTAAATATACATATATATAACTTGTGGCTAAACATAGTGGGAGAGCTTCAACTCAGGGAATAAACACAGCTAAATTTTTAGTACTATGTTAAAAGTGGAATGGAGATTACTCATCCAAGCAATAAAAAGATAATTAGGTTTGGCAGGGCATGGTGGCTCACGCCTGTAATCCAGGCACTTTGGAGGCCATGGTGGGCGGATAACCTGAGGTCGGGAGTTCAAAACCAACTTGACCAACATGGTAAAACCCTGTCTTAAAAAAAAAAAAGAAAAAAAAAGATAATTAGGTGAAGATAAGATAAACATAAATTTTTAAAGTATAACTAAATTAATAAATCTATTCACAGTAAAAGATGATTGTAAAGATGGGAGCAATTGGCCAGGCACGGTGGCTCACGCATGTAATCCCAGCACTTTGGGAGGCTGAGGCAGGTGGATCACCTAGGTCAGGAGTTCGAGACCAGCCTGGCCAAAATGGTGAAACCCTGCCTCTACTAAAATACAAAAATTAGTTGGGATGCCTGTAATCCTAGCTACTCGGGAGGCTGAGGCATAAGAATCGCACCATTGCACTCCAGCCTGGGTGACACAGCGAGACTCCAACTCAAAGAAAAAAAAAAAGAAGAAACTACATGGAGTTTGATTACTTCTTAGGAGTTTTGCTAGTTTCATTTCTCCCTAAATTCAAAAAACAAAAGCTAAGAAGTGATAGGGTCTACATCCACAAACAAAACCAAACAATCTTTTCTGTTATAATACTTGCCTGTAGGTATTTGGGTTATTTACACAAATTTCAAAAAGCAGTATTTTTAAAGGAAGGAAGTGCCTCTTCAGGGATAAAATCTAGTGCTGACACCAAAGTTACAAGCTGTAGTGTTCTGATTTGGGTAAAAACACCCTCTGGCACTGGCAATAATTAAAGGCCTCTTTGAGAAGGCTTCCAGCTCCTAAGAATGTCTACAGCTGTTCTCAGAAAAGTGGCTAGCTCTCAGCAGCAGCCTGCAGGCGTTAGAAGCAGCTCTTGGCTACTGTTGTCTTCACTGTTTTCCCTGTCTCAAAGGCTCAAAAGATAAGGGGGTAGAAGCAGAAGTGGACAGGATTATCCGGAGGAGAATCATTCTATTACTACCCCTCGTGCTCCATTCATATGGATATATTTCTGTTCAGGAAATTACAAAGGTTTTTCTTTTCTTTCTTTTCTTTCTTTTTTAAAGACCAGGTTTCACCATGTTGGTCAGTCTGATCTTGAACTCCTGACCTCAGGTGATCCGCCCCGCCTTGGCCTCCAAAGTGCTTGGATTACAGGCGTGAGCCACCAGGCCCAGCCTACAACTGTTAATTACCCAGTTTACTTGATCTTAGCCAAAAGGTGGAGGGAGAAGCAATAACTGCTTAGTTCAAAAGTGATGGGAAGAATGCCTGGTTTTGGGAAAATCTACAAAACAGCAAACAAACCAGCTTACAAACGACAGAACACCACAGAACTGAAGAGTGCGGCAAAACCTATGGAGATCTCACAGGGACTGAGTCATTCTCAAGAGCTGAGGTTTCTGAAGAAAAGTTGGGTCTTCAACCGGAGTTTGGAGAGATGCCTTGGGAAGTCTAAATTCCGTGCCACGCTTGTGTTTGTGTATGGTTCATGTATGTTTCTGGAAGGCAGTCTATAGGGTTTATTAGGCTCTCAGAAGGGGCCAGAGGAGGTTAAGAGATACTGTTGATCTATTGGGATAAGAGGGTCTAAATGTGCGATACCTTTCTGTCTCTTGCAGTGATTACAAGGAAGCAGGTGAGCCTTACCACGATGACGCATCATTATCGTCATCGTCATTGTCGTCATCATCGTCATCATCATCATCATCATCATCATCCATCTTCTGTGTCCCAGAATGGTCTTACCACCAGCAGCCATTGCCCTACTGGGGCAACATCTGGCCTGCAGGCAGGCTTTCCTTCACCTGGTGTTTTTCTCCCTTTTCCTTTTAAATTAAATGTGGTGCCAGCATTTACAACAACAACAAAAAAACGTGATTTGACATAAAAATTTAGAGTCCTGGCTTCTCTTGGAAAACAAAACAACAACAACAACAACAACAAACATGGAGATCTGGCAACACTGGAATTGCATCGTGCATGACAAGATCAGCTCGAGCCAAGGAACTCAGCAGCCATGCCAGTGTCATCCTGCTATATTCCTTTCCCAGCTGTCCTTTCCAGTTCTATTATCTGCCTGACCCCCAGGGTTTCATCCCCTGTCCCATAATGTGATGCCTTCTTCCAAGTGTACTAATGGATATATGGTTGTTTCCAGGCAGCTTGGCTTTAGGCTAGTTAGCTTTTGAAGTTCTGTTAGCTAGAGCTTTCCTCTGTCT